ACGCCGAGGACGCGCCGCCGAGCGCCGGGCGCAGGGAGCCCCTGGCCGAACCTAGAGACCGGGACCCCAACCCGGACCCAGACATGACGGGGCTGGAGGATCAGGAGTTCGACTTCGATTTTCTCTTCGAGTTTAACCAGAGCGACGAGGGCGCAGTCGCGGCCGCCCAAGGTGGGTCAGGCCGGCCGGGAGGGGCGCGGGGCCCTGGAGACTTGGGGGCACGTGTGCCTGGGACTTAGAGGGCTGGGGAGACTTGAAGGTGCAGGGAGCCAGAAAACTTGGAGATTTGGTGGATGCCGGGGGCCTGGGGCGCTCCCAGGGTCCAGTTCGGGGTCGGGGCGTGTCCTCTCCCCCTTTCAGTTTCGGCCGCCCCCCCAGCCCTATCCCGTCCTCTCCGTGGGACCCTCAGGTCCTCTGGTCAGGCCCGGACCACAGGCTCCCCGCGGGCGCCTGGGTGCAGCGGGACTGGCGCAAACACAGGACCTAATGGAAGGCAGAGAGGCCACCTGTGGACTGAGCACGCTCTAGGCGCAGGTGGTTTTCAGCCTCCACCGTGGACTTGCTGGCAGACAGCATGAGGTCTCCTTGGAGAGAGCTCCCGATGGAGGAGGACAGCCCTTCTTTTTCAGGGTGGCTGTGTGACACTTCTGCGAGGGGAGACAAGTGTCCAAGGCACAGGACTTGGACATTGTTGTCTGGGGACAGATGGTCAGCGGCAGTGCCAGAGGGCAGTAGGAAGCGGGCCCTCAGGGAGTCCGACCCCCCTGCTTGGTGCCCTGGCCCTGACACCTGGGCATCCCCCTTGCAGAGACTCTGGGTTGAGACTCTGGTTTTCAAGTATACACCCCGGGTGCCAACACTATTTTCTTTCATTTTCTCTTCTGTAAAAAAGGTTCTACTTAAACAGCAACTATAAAAAACTCCTCCCCCCTGCCAGTTGACATTCTTGAATAATGAGAGAGCCCCCAATATGGCACGCCCTGGGCAGGCTGCTGCTGGGCCTGGAAGAGGTTGCCCCAGAACCCACTCTAGCACCTGGTTTCCTTTGTATGCACCACCCCCCTCCCCAGTGAGTCAAAAGCCTGTCTCCTTTCTGTCCCTCCCCATGTGCAAATGGAGTTCAGGAAGAGAGTGGGGCCTTGGCAAGACCAAGTCTATAGTGATTGTATGGTGGTGTAAACCACATCCTCCCACCATGACCCTCTTCTTAGATGTCTACTGTC